CAGATGTCAATGACTATCTATAAGTTCCTTTGTTCAAATTTAACTATAGTAGCTGCCTCCTTGGCAATTTCTTCCCCATTGGTCTCTGTTCTACTTTCAGGATTTTAAAATGTCACTAAAAAGAATTTTTCAGTTAATGAAGAAAATATTTTAAAAAGTAAGATTTGTTTAACCTTATGCTTTCTATAAAATGTATTTTACTGTGTAGTTCTTGCTACCATTTATCTCTATTAAAATCTTAGACAAAGTAATATATTTAATACAATGAAAAATTTAGTAGACCAGAATGTTTATAATTTTCAGGAATTCTGCTCACTGAACTGGCTTAAGAAACTACATCCCAAATACAAAAGTTGCCTCTATTACAAGGCAACTTTTCAAACTTTAAATATTATTCTTAAAAGTAATCTCAAAAGGCCCTCCCTGGTGGTGCCGCGGGTTAAAACACAGCACTAAGAAGCCCAAGCCACTTCAGCATGAGTTCATCCCAACCTGATCCCCACCCCGGGAGGTGACCACATGGCAAGGAAGACCTCTCCTGAAGCCAGCTGCTCCCCTCAGCAGTGTGCTTCCTTGATCTGCCTGTCCTGCTCCCCACTCAGTCTCTGATGAATCCTCTCACAACCCCTGCACCTCTGGCCTGTACCCCAGTTCTGTATGCATAAATAAGTCTTCAAAAAAAAAAGTAAAAAAAAAAAGTAATCTCAAAAATCATCTAGTCTAACCAACTTTACCTTACAGGTGAAGTAACTCAAGATCTAAACAGTGATTTAACTCTACAATTAATATCCTCCAACTCTACAAAATAATTCTTAATCATTTCACCAATGTCTTAACACTGCTTCTAGATCCTGAATACTGTAGCCTTCTCTTTCCAAGAAATTTATCTTGCCTCTCTTAGAATGTGCTCAAACATAAGTATTAGACAGGGTTTTAATAAAGCAGAGTAAAATGGAATGATTAAACAACTAAATACTTCCTAAGTCCTGCTGCAGTTAGCCTCTTTTAACACTTGGCAGGTAGCCTAAGCCACCTCCAGTCAGACACTGTGCCACAGGGTAAAATTACTGACTTTATCAAATGATTGTATTATTTTTGCTTACCTGGCTTTGACTCATGTTTCTCATAATTAATGTCCTTGATCCTTCTTATATATTTTAGAACATCAGAACCTGATGTTAACCCAGAAGCCTAGTTACTTCCTGGAGTCCAAGCAGTTAGCAGTTATCTGCAACTCTCATGTGACTTTATTTCCCAGATCTGCCTATCTTTAGGATATTACCTATCCTCATTTCTATAAGACACTTTCTGAAGGCACCCTAAGTATTCCACTGTGACAAATAGTAAAATTGAGCAGGAGGGCCCTCCCTGGTGGTGCAGCAGGTTAAAGCACAGCACTAAGAAGCTAAAGCCACTTCTGCAAGAGCTTGATCCCCGCCTGCCCCAGAGGTGACCACATGGCGCGCAGACCTCTCCTGACCTGCCCGCTGCTCTCCTCAGCAGTGTACTTCATCAGACTGCTTGTTCTGCTCCCCACTCTGTCTCTGATGAATCCTCTCACCACCCCTGAACCTCTGGTCTGTACCCCAGTTCTGTGCATAAATAAATAAATCTTTACCAAAAAAAAAAAAAAAAAAGAGCAGGATACAATAAATGTAGGAAAACAATAAAAGGGAGAAACGTGGGAAGCCCTGGCCCAACCAAAGGAAAGGGTAGAAAGAGAAGACACAAATTGAACTACAAGTGCCCCGTTTAAACTAAGGAAGCTAAAAGCACTGAGAATCTATGCTATAGGTTTTAAGTTGCAAAGAAGCTGTTCCCAGAATACTCTATCTTTACATTTTTCTATTTGTCTTGTTATTTTCTCATCTTCATAGGTTCCTGAAGTATGAAGAAACTTTAAGGTCAACTAATCAGGAGGCAACAAGTTAGCTACATTGGAATCACTTACAAAACTTTTTGAAAAAAACAATTCTCCTTCCCCTCAAATTCCACACTTCTATTTTCTCCTCTCACCCATATTTCCAAACACACACAAAATCAGGATTTTGTAGGCCTAAATTCTGCAGGATGCTGTAATATACAACTTAGTTTTGAAAGTTCATTATTTGGTTTACTTTAAATATCTCCTGTAAAAGATAGCCTACTAGTGTTTGTCATTTACAGTATCTTCCTACATAGCATGTCCTATTAGTAGAGTTAAAAAACAAGGTGGAGGAGAGAGAATACAGAGTTCCATGAGTTTGAATACCAACTTTTCTTCCGATAAGCAGTTCTCTAACTTATTATCTTATTGTAGAAACATTCAAAGATATGTAAAAGTAGAGAGAATAATATAGTGAACATTCATATATCCATCAATAGATTCAACAATTATCAACACACGGCCATCTTGTTTCTCCTATAAGCACTATGCCCCTAGCTTACTTGGTTTTATTAAAGCTATAATCTACTACCTTCATTCATAAAATTTTCAGGATACATCTTTACAGTATCAGAATTCATATAACTAACTGCAATACAATTATTACATAGTGAGTTAATCTGGTCTCACAGGCTTCTCATGAACTTTCTCCTGTCTCAGCAAATATAGAGCTGTATGAAGTTTTACAGCATAGATAAGAAGCATGTAGCTTTAGGTTCTCAGTTCCAGTCTTGGGTCATTGGACAGTAAGTAATTCCAGTGTATCAGAAGCCTCAACTTGTTAAGATGAAAACCACAGTTCACCTGGAATGGTAATCTCTTACAATAGTCTGTTTCTCTTAAGGGATAAATGACTTTTCAAAGCTGGGAGGTAAGAATGTAAGATATAGAGATAATGCAAAAAAAAAAGTCCTTTATAAATATTTATATTAAATTCAAGATAATCCATGCATTGTAGCTACTACACACGCATTGTAGATGTATAAGTACATGTGTACATACAGAAATGCGAGGCAGGAGCAGAATTGTTTGAAAGTAACTGGATGCTCACTCTGGATAATCAGAAGCTTTACTGTCTACCATTTGGAGGGCTGAACCTACACTTATGCCACTGCCAGGCAAGAGGTTTCCTTTCCTCTGATAAAAGGGACTACAATATCCCACAGTTCTGAGATCTCTTAGGTTCTAGATAGTTGCCTTTCCCAAACAACTACTATAATCAGCTGATATCCCTAGCTAGAGTGCATGATGTCAAATACCTGGCATCATGTTCTCAGGCTTAACCAATAAAAAGGAATGCCACATTTGGGGAGAGATCTCCACTAGAAAACTGACCCAAGTATGAATTCAGCAGTGGCCTGTCCTGCTGTGGACCAGTGAACCAGTGCCTTCCAATTTTTAAAATAACTGACAGCATAATATTTGCCATTTTAACCATTTAAAAACATATAATGGCTTTTAGTACATTAACAAGTCTTTGTGACCATAACCACATTCTTAGAACACCAACAGACATACCACTTTTGTTTATCCATTCATCAATTGAAGGACATTGAGTTCTTTTTCACTTTTTGGTATTAGAATTATATGTTGCTACACAACATAGATGGAGATAGAAGGGATTATGCTTACTGAAATAAGCCAGAAAGAAAAGGAAAAATACCAGATGGTTTCACTCATAGCAGGAATATAAAGGACCAGGGGAGAAAATAATCACTTTCCATATTAGGATAGGCTATATTACAAAAAATTAGAAAATAACAAGTACTAGAAAAGATATGAAGAAGCCAAAACTACAGGTAGAATGTAAAATGGTACAGCCATTACAGAAAAAAGTTTTGGTGGTTCTACAAAAACCTAAACTTAAAATACTAGCAATTCTACTTCTAGCTTAATTTTTTTTTTTTTTTTGATGAATCTTGCTTAAAGGCTGCCATTTTCTCTTCAGATACTTCAGGAAATGATTACTATTTTCTAAAAACAAAAGTCACAATGAGATAACACTGATACAAACTATTGAAACAATCGACATACTTTGGTTCCAATTTAAAATGTGTAATAAGCATAGTTTTAAAACTGAAAGGTATTAAAATATTGTGTTAGTAAATTTAGAAACAATATTGAAAAGTTGTAAGAGAATTTAATAAGATGTACATCCAAAGTAAACTATAGTTGAAATGGAAAACTGCAATAGTAGAGACTTTTCTAATCATGTCATCCAAAATATTCTTATCTTTTTCATAATCTTAATACATTCTTCCTTCTCTCCCAGATATCCAAAATGGTTTTTAAAGTCATCAATTCAACATAAACCATGCAAAATTCGCTGCTTCTTTTTCCCTAAAAGCTAGTTGATTCACAATACCTAAAAGGTAGGTAAATGCTGATCCAATTTACTGAATTATATAACTCACATTAAAGTGAGAATGAGGCTTAAAAACTTAGAAACCACATATATTTTAAGAAAAATACAAATACATAAAGGTATATACTGTTTCTGGAAAGGAAAATTCCAAACCCTACTGTCTCTCTTCTGAGGGAAGATAACGTACCCAAGCCACCCTTAAACGCAGTAATTACTGTTTTCTCATGTTTATCAACATAGGTACTTAAGGAATATCCTCTAAAAGACTTTTCTTCCTTCTTTTCAGGGTCATTTGTTCAAGCATGTATGGTTAAAAACAACAAAACAATACACATGAGAATTCCTCTAATGGGTTAAAAGCCAAAATTTCTTGTTTCCCCTAAAAAATTTAAAGAGATAAGGAAGAGAAAGAACTATATATCATAAAAAGGACATACTGATAAAAATTATCTTAAATGCCTCTCAGTGACAGATCCTTGACTAGAAGCTTTTTAAATTTATAATCCTAGAAAAAATAGTCTTTATAGCAAGCAATTTTTAACTGATATAAACACATTTAGTCCTTTACCACACAATGTAAAATTCCAAGGATACATAAGAGCAAAGAAAACACAATTCAAAATCCAAAGTGTTTCTTTTACCTAATAAATTATGCACACAAATAAGAATTCTTTGTTCTAAGTTTAAGAAATTAAAAGGAAAAGGCCATACCTGACACATTTGGCCCTGGACTTTTGTAAATTGAGTTGTTCGAATATTTAAAGACTGGCTTCTTGTTACAGTTGCTCCAGAAAAAGATTTTCCATTCACCTTTCTTTCATGGTGACAATTTGCTAAAGATCTCTCTTCAAGAAGAACAGCATCCCAAGGATCTTCCATTGGCAAACCTTGAGCAATTTTCTCATTTTCCGTATGATCTAGCACTTCCACATTGTCCATCTTAGGCTTGCTTAGTGGATCCAAATCTAACCAGTCAAATTTACTAATATCTTCAGACTTTGGAGATACCTGTAGATTGCTGATTGCAGTTTTTGAATTTGTTATCTCCAAATCAGTCCTTGCTTTTCCATTTTTTAAAAACTCTGATGTACTAGCTATTTTGTCAAACAGTTTTGCCATGTCAGGATTGACTGTTGGACGATAGATAGGTAAGCTTCCTGGTGGATGAAAGGGTGCAACATGTGTCAAAGGATATGAAAAATATGGAGACTGTCCTGGAATACTTAAATATATAGGTTCTGCAGGAGGAAAAGTAGGCATCCTTGGATTCAAGCCATTTTGGAATGCTGTCTGTTTACTACTGTATGTTGACTGGTAAAAGGAAGGTAAAGTGTAGGTGGAAGGCGCAGATAATCCAGGTGGCCACTGTCCTCTCTGAAGAGTAGGTCTAAGATAGAGCTGTGTTGAAAATGAAGGGCTAAGAACAGGAGTAACTGGCAATACTGGTGTTTTCCTAGTCTCAAAACTGTCATCCAACAATAGTTTCTCAAGTTCAGCTTGGGTAAGCTTTTCTACATCAATATCTACTGCTCTTTTTTGGGTATCTGACTCAGGAAACACCATGAGATCATAATCTTGTTTATTATAAACTTGTGCTTTTTGTCTGGTGTTGGTTGACAACTCAAAACTTCTCTGATTATCAGTCACTTGTCTGTCCTTTTGCAATTTTGCTAAAGCCTCTGCTTCCATTTGTAATGCTTCTTCTTTTCCCACATCTTTTGTTCTGGTTTGTTCGAGACATGAAGATGAACACTGCTTAAATTCATTCTTGCTGGATATCTGAGCCATGTCCACTTATAAGAACAAACTTTTCCTAATCTAATTTTTTCTTGGAGCTTCCAAAATATCAAGACCTACAGGTAAAAATAAACAACACTTAGATTTTAAACAACAATTAGATTTTTCAAACTCAGATTTATTTTTTGCAAACTACCTTAAACGATTTAGGATTAAAAGTCACAAAAATATAAAGTAAAATGAGCAGATGGAGAAGGATCTGAGTAAAGGAACACTTTCAAAATATCTTAAAACACTGATGACTTAAGTTAAGGGACATGTTTAGAGATATATGACATTAACCCATTCCCTGACCTAACACGAAGGAAAACAAGTACAGTAAATGAACTCAAGAAGCTTTCACTTCAGCTATTACAATGGCTGTGGTTAACCATGGCACTACTGGCATAAACACTCCTGGAAGAATTCTTGGCATAAAATGGTTTAATAGTTAGTCATATATTTTAAGAGTTTGGGAAGAGTTAACTATAATGTAAATAACAAGTCAAAATCGTTTCAATACTATGCTACTTGATAAATTAACATTAAAAGCATTTAATTTCTAAACAATAAATTCAAGGAATATGATTTATATTAGAACTTCTTATGAAAAACATAAGTTTGTAGTAGTATAAAATATTAGAAATGTAACAGATTAGAGTAAGATAAAAGTGTTAAAAACTTTAGAAGTCATAGTACTCTACTTACAGGCTAAATTATAGCTGAATTGATCAACTTCTGTTTGATCAAAGCAGTTAAACCAAGATACAATATTAAAATTTCTCATTTTCTAATTGCTAAAATATTTTTAATCACAGACTAGAAGACAGTTCATTAAACTTTCTCATTGATTCATTTATAAAATTTATACTCCTCTATTTAAAACTCTTAATTCAGACCAAGATTACCATATGAAGCACTGTGACCAAATAAAGAGTTAGTTATGTATGTAACAGGGGGCACATTCCATACTTCTAATCAATATGATATGGAAGTTAAATGTGGGTTCTGGAGTTCTACCACCTTTATTTTGAAGTTGTACACCTCGGACAATGAAAACTTTTCCATAAGCCTTAGTGCCCTACTTTTAAAATGAAAAAGCATCTATCTGTTATACTGAATATAACAATACAATTAAAAGTACTTATCCTTGGCCTGGAACATAGCCTTAAATAAATAACATCCATTACTAGTCTTACTCTGGCTTGAGATACACCTAGTTTAAATGACTAGAAAGCACGAGTGCTTCTGTTTACAGCCCAAGATCTTTTCCAGTACAGTGCTTGTCTATAGCATATGCTCAATAAATGCTCGATGAAAGGAGGCTGGGAAACACCCAATATGAATTCAAACTAATACAACACATCGAAAGTCCAGTTGTTGAAGCAATGGCCTCATCATCTTTCACTTCATCATATATGAAAAAATGATTAGTGATCAGGACATAAAGAAAGAGGTAGCTGAGGATGAATATTACTTTGCACTTCCTTTCCTACCAATATAGGTGATTTTCTGAGATACTCCATGGAAAAGCTATTCCAAAATTTTCCTTACTATGGTAGACTGCAAAAAACATTATTGCTGTAGACTTAAAATATGAACTTTATTGTATATAAACATTACACAAGAGAAAAAAATGTAAACAAATACTGACTTGTTAAATATGCATGAAGTACACAGAGGAAAAGTACTGATGCCTACTAGTTAACTTCTAAATTCATTAAGTATGATGAATTGATAGATAGGGGGATGGTAGATGGATAAATATGTGATTCGTAGAGGAAAATGTTAATGCTATAGCCTCTTGATGGTAAGTATATGAGTATTTACTCTGAAATTCTTTCAATTGGCTGCTTGATTGAACATTTTCACAACAAAATATAGAAGGGGATGAAATGGACACAAATTCTCCAATTCCAGCAAACATACCCCTTTGCAATGTGACTCATTCAAAGGTGGAATCTACTTCTCCATTCGGTCTGTGATAGTCTTGTGACATGCTCTGACCAATCAAATGTTAAAGAAGTGACACTGTAGGCATTCCAAGTTAGGTCATAAGAGACCTAACTGCTTCTGCTCTTCTTTCTTGAACAGCAGCCACTGGCAGGTGACTATTCATGGACAATGAGTGGGCACAGAGGCCCAGCCAAAAGCACAGATCACCAGATATGTGGGTAAAGTCACCATTTTAGACACTACATCCACAGTCCAGATAACCACAGCCATATGAGTGATCCAAGGCAAAATGACAAAAGAAACCATGCTGCCCAAGTTCAGAGGCAAATTGCTAACTTAAAGAATTTCTTTGGACTGGTTACAAAGTGATAGATAACTGATAAATCTTTTCTTCTCTTCCTTGAAAACAAAACTGAAGTGAGTTACCTACTTCACAACAAATTTCTGTGCTTTTACTTCCCCCATCACCACAATCAACTTCCTTCACTTGTCCTCAGAGAATAAACACCTCCCTTTTCCTTTCTGAACAGCTGCCCCTTTCACTTACAGCCTTAATCCTACTGAATTCCCCTATTTTCTTTTTTAATCAGTGATTTTCTCCTTTGCATTGTTTATTTCTCCTCTACTGGCTCATGTTTTTCCACTTGCTCAGCCTTTCTCCATACTGAAAGAGAAAAAAATCTTACCATACCCATTCAGACTCCAGTGGCTTGCATTTTAATTTTCTTTCTTCACTGCCAAATTTCTCAAATGCATGACCTAGAAAGTTCTTTTTTACTCATTCTGTCTTGGAAAAACTCTCCTCCTCCTTCAGAACCCAATTCAAATAGTCCCCTTGCAGAAGTTTCTTAAGTAGGTCCCACCACAATTCATCTTTTTAGCTCAAATGAAGATTCTTATTTAATTCTGTAGACTTTATGCTGGTTTTGCCTGCTCAGCAACCTTCTTCAGAAAACTTCTTTTTTGAAATTTACTTATCTCCTTTTTATTCCACTTAATTCACACTAGGTGGGCCATCCTCTCCCTCACCCTGGCCCACTCCAGAGGATCCAAGTCTGGCCAGTCAGAGTTGGTAAAATGATAGGATGTAAGTTTGATACTGCAGTAACCACCTTCTCCATCACTTGATGCAGAATGAATCTAAGCCACAGAGAGCAGAACTAAGATAAATGAGATATATTTTAAATATTAAACATCTGGATTTAATCCATGCCCAAGGTCAGTTATTTATTTATATAAGCCAATATATCTCCCCATTTTGGTTTAAGTGAGTTTAAAATTACTTCTGCCATGATCACCAGAAATATCTTGATTAACATGGAATTTGTAATCTGTGTATTTATTAACAGATTAAAATAAACTTAAATGCAGCGATGATTTTGATCATTATTTTCCTACCCACAACATTTAAAAGAATGTTGCTTAATAAACATGGAACTTTATTTAACAAATACATATTTTAAGAGGAAGGAATGAAGGTTACTGAACTGTCTTAAAAAAGGGATTTCAGATGGTACATGACTATGGATATACAGTAGAAGAAATGAGCCAAGTGTAACTGACTGTTACTGAATACCGTAACACACTGCCCATTTTTCATAAAATCAAGTGGATTAGAACAAAACAAAAGATACTGAACTGTGTTACAATTCATCTTCTACAAACAATTCAGTTTTTTAACCTCCAAACATGGAAGCCAGAAGAATACTTAATAATATGAAGGAAGGGAATGATATAAGGGAAATCCATGTGTATACGCTCTAAATATATTCATAAGCACACTCAAATAACACTGACCACATATAGTCCCCAGTAGGATATAACCCAAATATTTATTAATCCAATCAAAGGTTCATAGTCTGTTTCAATGTGCAACTTTTGACACCTATGTGTTTTTACATAACAACCACCAATTTCTCTCACTTTCAGGACACCCATTAGGCTTCTTACAATTCAACTCAATTCTGAAACTATCTAGCAGCATTAGTGTCAGATTCCACAGAGTATAGGTATAGGCTCAGTCCAAGAAGACTTCTTGCTTATTTTTAGTTTAGATGCCAGTCAACAAGTGTTGGGGCCCCAGGTAACCCAAACATCTATTCAACTAGGGTACAAAGTGTGGGCACCCAACACTTCAGGTTTGATAATTTGCTGTAACAGCTCACAAAACAAAAATTATTATCACCAGCTTATTATAGAAGAGATAATTCAGAATAGCCAGATAAAGAAATGCATAGACTAAAGGGGCAATATATGGAGATTCCATGATCTCTGTGAAAGTGCCACTATATCAGCACCTCGATATGTTTACTAACCCAAAAGTTCCCTTCTTCATCTTAAGAATTTCTGTAGTGATTTAATTACAAAGACATATTACAATTTCCAGCTCCTATCTCCTTTTCCAAGGTGAGAGGGCTGGGAACAAAAACTCCAATCCCCTAATCATGTTCTGATCTTTCTGGCAACCAATTCAAATTCTAAATCTATCTAGGGGTCCCAGACACAGTTACTTCATTAGCAAACAAAAGACATAATTCCAGAGATTTCAAGGGTTTTTCAAATTGCATGTTAGGAGCCAGGAACAAAGACAAAGCATGTCTTTCATCACAGCTCAATCAATGTATCAATAATTCTATATAGCAATACCAATGAAAAAATATAACTATTTTTTTAAAGTATAAAACTCTGAAATATAATACTAAGTAGAGAGATAAAAATACACAGAATGATTCCATTCACGTGAAGGTGAAAAACTAAACTATATTGCTTAAATAAGCTTATATAATGGTAAAAGTGAAAAAAGGAGGGAAAGATTAGGTTAGTGCTCATGGAAGGGTTCATGATCAGGGAGAAATACATTGGGAACTTCTAGAATATCAGCAATATTCTAACTACTAATCTAATGACTAGTTACCCAAGTGCTTATTTTAAACAATCATACATGCTTTATGCATTTTTCTGTTATTTCACATTAAATAAGATCCATTCTACATATTTGAAACATCACATTTCATATCTATATAATACATGGTATGTGAAAAACAACAAAGAACACTTACATTACAAATAGTCTGTGGGGTGTTTTTTTTTTAAGATATATTTATTTATGCATACAGAACTG